GACCTCAATCTGTTCTCCCCAGGGCAGGAGCATTGGCAGGGCCTTCTCGGCTGACTGGTCTCCAAGGGCAGGGCAGAAAGGGGACTTGGGATAATTCTTCTCTTCCTCCATAAATTTGAACCCATCTTCATATAATGCATAAGTCATACTGCCTCCTTCAACAGAGCAGGGGCCTGGGCTGGTGTGGGGATGGCGGTGCCCTGCTCCATACCGCAGAACAATGATGGGCTAGTCCAGCCAAAGGAGACCTCTTCACTCTGCAGGTGTGTCCTGGGTGGAGGGAAATCTAGAAAGGCTGTACAGAGACCTTGCCCACAGGGGCAGGCAACTTGGACCCTGGTGCCAGCTGTGCATTTACTAGCCAGGTGGCTTTGGGCAGGGCTCTTTCCTGGACTCATGGAAGGCGATAACTGTGGCCATGCCTGCCTTCAAGGTTGCTGCAAGGATCAGTTGGTTGAAGGGTACAACCACGGATGTATACAAATGTTACACGATGCAGTTCAGGGTGTGTATATAGTGTGCTAACTATAGACCAGGTTGTGGATTTATTATTATTCCCAATGAAATATGGTCAGTTTTCTTTTAAGGAATGTATACTTGTAAGGTATTTTTAATCCTTCCTCATTCTCCGTCTAATGTTGCTACTTACAATTAGGGGTGAAGGCAGTTAAGGGCAAGGAGGACTGGACCTCAGTCCAGACCGTAGGCAGTTTCTGATCTTCCTGAACCCCATCTCCTAGGCCTTAGTTTTCTCCTCTATAGCCTGGCCCCCTAAAACCACTAGGGTGCTTTGTGGTGGGAAATAGAAGAGACCAAACCAGGGGACTGAAAGCAAAAAGAAACTCCAAATTTGACATTGCCGGGTAGTTGTGTTATCCAGAGCCATGACCACAGTCACCTCTGCCCCCAACCCAACTCTGACACCCTTCCCTCCTCCACTCCCTTGGTGGCCTTTGCCCATTCTGGGAAAGTGCCAAAGCTCCTCTGCCTCCTAAATGCATCTCAAAGGGAGAACAGGGGCACAAAGAAATGGAGAGAAACCCGGACAGAATCAAACAGAGAACTGGACAGAGACCTAGAGAGAGAGAAAGAGAAAGAATCAAAGCAAGAAGAGGAAACATACCATGAAAGACACTGGGAGTCAGGGCCTTACAGACAGAGAGAGACCAGATCAGGGAGAGCCAGAGGTTGGCCAGGGGAACAACCACAGGACACACAGTGGGGGTTGGGGGGCATGTGAAGGCTCTGGAGACACTGATGCACACCCTTTTAGACAAACCCTTCCAAGTTCTGTTCACTGGAACCTCAATGCTAGCTTTTAAGGACCCAGGACTACCCCCACCGTAGTCAAGCCAAGCCCAATCCAGCTGGAGCAGCAGGCCTCTGCAGGCCCTGGGGGAGGAGTCTGGAGAGGCTGCTGGAAATGGGCAGGCAGGTCCCCCACTCTTAAGCAGCCACCCCCACGCCACCTCCTCCCAGGTGCCCAGATGTGAGTGCAAGGCAAGGGTGGTCCTCTGCCCTCCAGGCCTGGCTGAGAGGAATGGAAACCCAAGGAATCTACTCCCATCAACTGAATTCCACACCTGCCTAAAGTGAAAGTCTGGAGAGTACAGCTGCCAAATGGGGCCCACCCACCATGTGGCAGTGGGTTTAGCTTTGCCACTGACAGGCTGAGCGACACTGGCCAAGTCACTTCCCCTCTTTGGCCTTTGTTTTCCCACTTGTAAAATCATCTTTATGGCCACTTCCAGTTCTGACACTTGGCACTCTTTGCAGGTGACCCCTAGTTCTGTATGTCTGGCTCGCCCCTGCCAGATGCACTGCCCAGAGTGGGGGAAGAAGGGAGAAGAAGGGGTCTGCTTCCTCCTCTCCACGGCCCTGCTACGGAACATCTGGGAAGCAAGGCTTCCTTAAATCCTCCACACAGCCCCATACAGTTTTCAATTCCTTTCCTTGTGATCCTGCCAACTAAGACACTGTGACCACACATGGAAGGCGGGGAGAACCCAGACGCTCCAGCTTCTGCAGCTTTAAACTCCATTATTTTTTTCTAAAGTAAAGAGAATGAAACTGGGGGTGGGGGGGGGTGGGGTAGTGAGGGGCGAGAAGGAGGAATGGAGAAAAAAGGGCAGATCCGAGAAGGAACCAGGGAAAGCAGCAGGCAGATGAGGATGATTCCCTCCGGGACACAAGGTCTTGGCCCAGCTGGGCCCTGAGTGGGCAGCCAGGCTGGCCCCTCCCTTGGTGCTGCCAATACCAGCTGCCAGGCAGAGGGGAGGCCCAGAGAAGAGGGAAGCTGGGCAAAGGGGATGGAAGGCTTCCAGTCTGGCCTTTCCCAACCTCTTGGGCCTGGGGTGGGGCGTGGGGTAGGGTAAGGGTGGGAGATTGGGAGTGGGGTGGGGGCACTCTTGGGGAGGAGGAATGTAACCCAGGCAAGGCTCTAGGGAGGATGTTCGCTGCTGTGGCAATGCCTGTGGGCAGTTGTGAGGGCATGAAGATTTAAGATAGCTCCTCCCTGGACCTTTTGGGAGGTTACTAAGGCCAGCCTCAGATGTGACCTGGCTGGGGTGGATGGAGGGGCAGGATAGTTTATGGATCATAGGATGCTGACTAGGCCCTGTGCCCACTGTGTGGCCCTGGGCAAGCCCCTTCCCCTCTCTGAATCTTCATTTCTTACCTGCCAAACTGCGGAGTAGGGGAGGGTTGAAACAGGATTGCCAAGGCTCTTTCCTGTTCCTCCCTCAGCGGTGGGTTCAGATGGTGGGAAGATGGGGGGCGGGGCCGGGGCAGTGGTGATGGTGGTAAGCTTGGCTTCTCTGGAATCCCCAGTCCCTCCTGTCACAGCGGCTATGCCTCCCAGGTCACCAAGGCAGTGGCCCCCAACCCACATAAACCCACACGCATTTGTTCGTTAGAGACTCAAAAGACGACAGAGCTGGAAAGCGTCTCCAGCTGGTCCGCCTTTCCCTCCTCCCTTTTTACAGATGAGAAAACTGAGGCCTTGGTTTGGAATTTCCAGAGCCCGGGATTTCCCGGCCCTCCCACCCTCCCCCGTGGGCACTCCTGCCCGCCACGTTCCCGGGACGCTCCCGCGGAGCCGCAGGCGAGGGCTGGCTGGGA